TCTTTCCCTTCAGTATCTTTTATGAGTCCCCCTCACCAACTCAGCAATCCTCTTATTGTTTTTTCTTGAGGCCTTCATTTCCTTGTCTAACCATGGCCTCTTTCCCACATCTTCTTTCTCACATCTAGATCTCCTTTTATCTGTCTCACTTTCCTCTTTCCTTCACACCATCATCTTGACCTTCACAATTTCATTTCAGCCCAGTTCATTTTTTTAATCTCAGTGTAAGCACTTACATACTTTTAAGAATCTCCACCATCCCCATTTTTATGAGATAATGGTTTTCTTTTCTATAGTAGCCTAACAACAATGAAATCTTTCCAATATAAAGTATTCCCTGAAATGAACATCACTTCTCAATCACTTTATTGAAAGAAAATAAATAATTCCATTGCTACGATTCGAATTCGCTGGAATGTTCACTTTGTACTTGTTATAAGCCTCATCCAAAGCTTATTTAGAATTAGTGGAAGTTTTTGCATCACCTTCAAAGGACTTAGGATTGCCTTATAGCATTATCTTGTTACAAGATAATTTTGTTTTCTCCTACATGAACGGTCTTGTTCCCACTTACTCCTGCATACTTCTGCTGGGTGTTGTATCCTCACAAGGGGTGTTGCATAGTAACAAGAAGAATTTTGCCCTCAAATATACCTTCCTTAAAGCCCACTTATTGTTTTTGGAAAGCGCCCAGTTCCTTCAATTGTTTCCCTGTCAATAAACTTTCACTCACGAATATGTTCTCCACGCTGGTGGTAGGTTTTACCTTTAGAGTAGCAAATAGAAAGGTAGTTGGACCATGCAAACTCAGCTGTGCTTAGCTTTATGCTAGCATGAATGAAAGACATTTCATGGGTGCCACAGACTGTCCACTTTTGGCACTGAACAGCTTAGTAGCTGAGATGGTATGCAAACCAGCTGCTTTTCTAGGTGACACATTCACTGTCCCTATAGGAAAAGTCTGCATCCAAATCCTATGCAAACATGCTACCAAGAACAAAGCTGGCTCATCTCCACAAAACATTCACAGCATTAAATCAGGAAGCTAATGCATTGTGCACGGTATTTTTCCTCTACTTTTCATGGAAAAATGTCAGAAAAAAAGGAAGATATGAACCAGTAAGACTGCAGTGCAACCAGGCTGCAGTCATGAACTGAGAGCAAGAGCTGGTCACCAGATATTTGAAAACGTGGCAGTAAATGTGGGGGGGGAAACATCAATTGCTATGGCCTCAGACTGCGTGGCCAAATCTACATCTGGTATGAATTGGGGATGCTCCAGTAGAATCAGCCCACACCACTGGGGTTCTGGCTGTAGGCCTTTCAAGTCCAGTCTTGCTCCTGGTCATTTTAGTGAATGGCAAAGCATGCAGGCCACCATTGCCAGGTGATCTAAGATTCCCAGATACCAGAATCTACCTGAAAATCTTAGCCTGACTATCTACCCTCAGTGGGAGCAGAAAACAGCCCCTCTGCTTCTTATGCATGGAATCTATGTTAATAAATGGTTCCTACAA